ACCCGGGCCGAGGCAGGGTGGGACCTGATGGCTGGGCTGACGCTTGCAGACGCCCCTCCAAGGAACCAACTCACTTGCTTAGCTCCAGGCTTCTGGTCCATGGGCGTCATCCGTAAGGTCTTCGCCTCTTTCTCGTACTGGCAGTAATATTTCACCCAGGAGATGCCCAGGGCCCCTGCAGAAACACACGGGAGGCCGGAGTCAGTGACAGTGCCTTAGTCGGGTGCAAGCGGCAGTGCACAGTCAGCATCTCCCGCACTGCCCTGGGGACGGACGCGTCCATCACCAGCGTCTCCTCCAGCGAGACCCAGGAGGAGCAGGAGAGGAGGAGCAGGAGGAGCAGGAGGAGCAGGAGGAGAGGAGCAGAGGAGGAGGAGCGGCGCCCTCCCAAAGCGCTGCTGGTGGAAGGGCCTTTGTGGGGCTCTGGTCACCAGCCAGGCTGGTTCGGCCAAGCCCAGCCACGACCTACTCTGGCAGGAGCCTACGTGTCTTGAATGCTCGTTTCGCACAGACACTGCTAATTTTTCCTTTGATGAAAACTTGGTAGTAAATATAACAGCATCTTGAAAACACTCTAAAGTTCCTACTTATAGCACACTAGATTTATCGTCACTTTTCTTTGTTGTCTTACTTGAATCACTTTATATGAAATACTTCAACTGATATTTTTTCTGTAATCTGTTTTTAAGATGCAGTTGTCAGGAGGAACAACTCTTTTCATACTCAGTTTAAAGCAGAAACTTAAACAGAGGCAGCACACAGCCACTGGCATGCAGGAACCTGCAGCATGTGTTTGTGTCTACATGTTTTCTTTTAAAATCAGGATAAACATACATACAAATATATGTATAAATACATTTGTATATATCATCCAAAAATTAACTGCTCACAAAGTAAGTTGTCTGCAGACTCGGAGGCCACAGCGCTGCATACAGGCTGTTGTCCCCTGGGTGTTCGTGCTTGCGTGGCCAGGGAATGCTACAGTGAGTATTTGTAAAAGACTGAATTTGGCTTGATTTGGTTCTATACAGAATCTCATCTCGCTCAGCAGCTTAACTCTCATTGCCGCTTAACACTTCAGCCGTGCTCGGAGGCCCTCAGAGACGCTGCGGGAGGGAAGCTGGGCAGGACCCCAGATTCATTCTGATAAAACGCAGCCGAGGTGCGATCTGCCAGGGCTCCGGACTCGGCAGCGCTACAACAGAGTAATAAATCTCATCTAATTTGAGCGCAGGGCAATTAGCTCCTTGCTTACACGGCTCATGTAACCCAGAGAAAGAGCTCCGTGCCACTGCTGAGAAAGCTGGCAGCTAAAGGTACCGGTGATTCCCCGGGCACGGGGTGCCCTGGCAGGCAGTGATGCCCCGGGCCGCGCAGCACACAGCGGTGCCCCGGCCCAGGCTGGCCTGGCCCCTGGAGCCAAGCACAGCCCATGCCGCGGGGCTGTGAGCAGGGCTGCCCGGGCTTACATGTTCTTTAATGCATTCAGGTGGGTATAAAAGCCATTACATTTCTCCTGAGTGTACAGGTAGCCCTCAATGGTCGGCTGCCCGGGCAGCTTGCAGGTTAGGGGGGCTTCCTTCATCCTCTTCTTCAGGTCTTCCAGCTCCTCCCGCGTGCTGGAAAAATGATTCCTTGTCTGTCAAGAGAAAACAAAAAGAAGCACATTTGAACATCTGCAAAGAGCGAGCTTCAGGTAGTGCTGGCCAAATTTTAGGTGCTTTGGCAGACACAAATCGTTCCTCAATGCACAAAATGCAGAAGCCACTCCACAGATTCACGTGAGAACTCCAGCCATAAGACCCCTGGGCTCGTAGCAGATGGTCGAAGAGACAAGGTTTAACACACCGTGCATGGAAACGGTGCTGGGGAGTCAGGACTGGGAGGACGCTTGTTCTCTCAATAAAAGACACTCAGCACGCTTTCAGGCTAGGTGGAGCAGAAGGCAGCACCTGAAGTGCTCTTCGCGCCGCTGTTTCGGTAGCAGGTGTGTTCTCCTACAAACACGGGCGTTGACTCCTCAGAAGAGCACGCTACGCTGCCTGGCATCAAATCGTTTCTAAAGAGTCACATCAACACAGGCTACAAGATGAAGGCATTTCTATGGAACACCTCTTAGACCAATTAACGAGCCAGCAGCAAACTCAGCTTGGCACGGATTTGTGGCTGTTGTTCCACGGGATGAGGGCCAGTCACGAAAGACTGAGGATAAAAGAAACAGGAGACAGCTATTTTACCCCATGAGTAAGCTTTGCCAGCGGAGGAGCTTAGCAAAACACGTAGCAAGCCGGTACCATTAAGATCAAGATTGGAGGCCTTTTTAGGAGACGTGTACAATTTCGATCCCACGAAATTGGAAGAAATTCTCAGGCTTGTTTTGCACCAGGTTAAATGACACAACCACAACAGCCCCTTCCAGACAAACACTACAGCAGCACCTGCAGGCTCTCTTGTGCAGGAGAGGAGAAGATACTTGTGAACCGAGAAGGAAATGCCTTTCTCTGCACCTCCCACAACGCAAACACGGGCAGTCTGTTTTGCAGGGAGCAGCCTTGCCACCAGAGGCGTTTAAACACAAATGTGAATGGGAGTCACATGCAAAAAATACTTCAGCTGGGCAGGAACTCACATTCTGCAGGCTGAGCTGAAGCTGCTGCTTGTACGGGAGGAAATCCTGCGTGAGCTCAACTGTCAGGTTGTTGTAAGTAAAGAGGCTGTGGAGAAAAGCCAGCACCTGCACAGGAGGGAAAGGACACAGACTAAACTTCTCTTCTATACTTCTAATCAGAGCAAAGATAGACAGGAAACAGAGTTTCAGAAATTACATACACTAATATATTTTTTTCCTTACAGCTTTGGAGTGATGCAAGTCTTAGTATGACTTCTCCTCCGCAATGTCCCTAAAGCCCAGGCCTACCACCCACACATCTGTCTTAATAAAACACACCCAAAATGAAAGACCCTGCCGGGAGAACAAGCGCAGATCTGCAGGCTGCTTGTCCACGAGACCCACACGATCCCACGCTCGACTGCGCCTGGTGCCAGGGCAGAGCCACCCACCCAGGGCAGGGTCCTTGCACCACTGCAGCCTGTGCCACGACAGGGAAGCGGAGCAGATAACAACTCCAATAATCCACAACGACCTCTCGCTACCTACAGCGTCCAGCCTGTTCCTCAGGATCGACTTGCAGACATGAGCAGCAAGTCTGGGGCTTCCAGCAACCACCACTAAGGCTGTCGAGCTGCAGCCATCCAAGTGTGCAAGGCCAACTCCTGCTCCACCACAAGACTCCCCAGGACCGAGTCCAAGCTGGTAACTCCCCTCTTCCTGCAACTGTCAAGTCAGCACACCTGAGCATCAAGCACCAAGGCCTGGAAGAAAAGGCAGCCCCTACCGGTTCAACGATACTGAATTTCTTGCTCTCTTGTACTTCCTGGATCTGGTAAACATACTCGAGGGAGGACTCAAAGAAATTGTGTCGCTCTTTGTCAACCTGAAGGTCAGCCTGGAAGAAAGAGGGAGAGGTGAAAAGACAAAATACGTCACATCTAGCGTGACAATATTTGACCAGCATTTGTCTGTCAGCCCACAAATAGCTCTGTCCTCACTTAGGAAGCAGCCGGCCAAAGCTGCCCAGCCCAGCTTTCGAACACTTTGCACAGAAGACGACGACATCGGCTCTTCTTCTCAGGTCTGCCCTTTTCTGGCTCCCTTTCACTTCTGGATCCAGAACCTCACCCCGCCCTTCAAGGACAAGGCTTTCCCGAGGCATGTTTCTTATTTTAGCATAAGCTGCTTCTCCACCCGCAGCCCTGCACTGGTGAGGACAAGGCCACTGTCACGATCCCCTCGCCCGACTCCTGGTACGACCCAAACCCAGCAATTTCAGAGCTGCAGCACCAGGCAGGACAACGTGGCATGCCGTGTTACCCCAGCTGACACAAATTTTGCCTTGCAAAGATGTTTGTAGGTTGATCTGACAACTGGTTTGACAGATCTGATTTGATCCGACGGCTCTGATGTGGGCTGGAACAGCTCGGGCTTTCCTTCCTTGTCGCAAGACGTTTGGGGGCAGCGCGGGCTGGAAGGGGCAGCATCCCTCCCCTGCCTGTGCCACAACCACCCCTGCACACACCAGCAGCTCGGCAGGAAACTAGGCTGGCAAAAATAACAACAACCAGTTGTTTTTCAGCCAGATCAGTTCCCTGAGCCAGTTCAAAGGGCGGCCAGTCCCCAGCTGTGCCGGTGTAACTGGTCACTGCCCTACACAAGGGTGAGAACAAGGGCAATGCACTAATGCTGCTTGGCACCGTACGGTGAACTGCCACCTCCACATCCCTGGTCTCATCCATGTGAACAGCCTTTAGGTAGATTTAATTGCTTATCAATGTCAACTGGTTACTGAAAGGGATGATTTTTGCCTCCTTTTTTAAGATTTAGAGCAGCTGGTGGTGCTGATTCTGGACCCAACTGAAGAGAACTGCATACGCACCTCCTGTAATTGGGATTCCTTCTTTTTGGAAGACAAATGCAAATGGCGATCCAGCATAGAGTAAAACTTCTCCCCATCCTTCTCAAACTTCTTCTTTCTTTCCTGTATGCAAGAGTTGAAACAGAACCAGTTACTGACATTTTCCAGATAAGAACATGCAACAACGCCAAGATCTTTCCTGCAATTCAGCATTCCCATGGAAAATCCCGGTCGACCCACCCAAAGAGGAGGCCACTGCCCATTCGCTCTGCTTCCACCGTCTGTCGCTTGCCCTGGATTTCGGTCAGCCTCACGACCAGGCTCTGGCAATACTCGGTGGCACAGGCACTTGCAGTACTTTGTCACATCAGCATTGTGGCAAAAGCCCCACCGATGAGGTGTTGCTCCCCCCTCAATCTCTTCAACGTCAGGTGACCCTTGAGGCACACCAACACATCAGACACCCACTCACCCTTAGCCAATGTGCTGTTCACTTGCTCGGAAACAGCTGGGCACACACTCGAATGTCAAGGACGCGTCTGACGTGAGAAATGGTTTGTCGGGAGTCTGGCCATTGTCTGTTTTGAAGCTTTTCTCGCGTATTTCTGACAAGTACCAGAACGAAAGCAGAAGGGCGATACGTGGGAGGGCAGTCACCGTCTCCTTATTAGCAGTGGTGGAGACAGAGCTCGCAAACCTGGCGGTCCAAGCCGCCGCGGGGTTTACTGCGCAGTGC